TTCAATACAATAACTCACGAGCTACTCAACATGGACACATCCCATTTGCATGGTAAATTCTGGGTCCACCCAGAAAGATAACTATCACCCCAACTCACCGATTGTTGTGCTACCTGATAACGTCTCTGAAATGTGCTATTCATGTAACCCATACCAATAAAATAAAGAGGTCACCGTAAACCAACGCCTTACAATGCTTTAAAGCCCGTATACGTTTCAGGCTATCTAATGAGTTTAAGTACCATCTCGTCACGCACACAATGAGTACTTTCACAACACAATTTTGCATCAACGACGCTTTAGCCACTGTTAACGACGATATACTGAGATATCCAGAATATATGGACCTGACGTGACTTATCCAAACTCCGCTGCACCTTCATGGACAAAACCGCGGACTGCATTGTCGACGCCACTCACCAATAATTGAACAATGTATCGTTTCTATGCGACCATCGAAATATGTTTTTCATTTTCGTAATTTATTACAATGTATATTGTCATTGCACAGCTTGTATATTAATTGATGCTATTTACTTAATTTTTATTTATAATATGACAGAATCAATTTTGTTCAATATTTATTTCTTTAGACTTCATGTAAATATGCAAATTTGCAATATGTAAATTGCTTTTAACTGCGTAATAAAACACTGAAATATTCACGGGAATTAGACAATCTGCACCACTCTCATATTGAAGGGTTTGCGGTCTGGCATGCGTTCCTATGGCAATACATGTGATGACTTAACTCGTTTTCTCGAGAACTGGCTGAAAAAGACTCATTTTCGTTACGTTAATCAATGCTTAATGAATTAAATAACATTTCAAATGAGCTATTTAATAATCTATTGTTTTATTCATTTAAATATTAATAATTCTGAATCAATATAGAACAGAACAAATGTTCTATAGTGTTTCACAATATTCACAGCAATGCTAGGAAACTGTGGCGTTTTTTTGTCAATGTTGAAAAACTGAATTTAAATATATTTGGACTTGATAAAAAATTTTATCCAAAATATAAGTACGACAAAATTATCAATCAGTAATTAACATAGGTAAGACATTAAACTTCCTTACGCATGGCTGGACTTGAATTCGTCACCGAACAGACCCTAATGATACGTATCCCATCATGTTAATTGAAGTGAAGCTTCACTTTATTCCCAAACCCCCTAGCTGTCCTCTAATTCATACAAAACTTATGCCATAATTTAAGGTACAACATTTGATATATTGTGTTACAGGGATAAAAGAAAATAAATAAATATATGGGGTCAGCTTAAGTTAGTTGAATGACAATTGATTAATAAAATACAGTTAAAATATTTCTGTCTGTCCCACGGCATTTGCCATTGTTTCCTATGGCAAGGATATATTTCTTTATCTCAATTTTACTCGGTGACATATTGTAAAAAAGACATTGTAGATTCGGATGTCTGGAAGTATTAGAAAATTGACAATATTTGTAATGTGGTTTAACGAGGAAATGTGTTTTCATTGTGGTCTTTGAAAACCGCAATCTGATTAAAATATGATCCTATTTTTTTTTTTTGTATATTTATTTAATTTTATTTTGATCTAGTATTTATTTTTTGAAGTTTTGGTAATTGCGAAAGCCAAATAAACAAAAAATCACAAAATCAAAATCAAAGTAAAATAATGAAATAAAAACTCATTAATAACAAAAGTAATAACAAATAAAATAAAAATAAGTTTATAGTCAAAATAATTAAAACCCGTACACTACATCAGATTTTAATCAGATTGTGAAAACCGCTGCTAAAATGGCATATTATTTGTAATATTTTACTGTTTTTTCCCCCAAAAAGCAGATGGACAGTAAGCCAAAAATCTCTCATGCTGTTGACTAATATTAAAACGAATAAACGAATGCGCTAAAATACATCACAAACCCATATGTTTACTGTATAGTCATGAACTCATTCCAATTAGTCCCACATGAACGTGGGTCGCTGATACTGAGGGTCATGACATCGGCGTGCCTTTGTGTATGCCACAGCTCACAATGGACTCGTTTACAGCTGATTAATGGCGAACACTGACTGTATTCAGTCGCTATTA